AACTTGCTCTTAAAGGTGCCACTGGACTGTTTTGGACCGGGGGCCGGGGGGAGACCTCTGCAACTTACCTGGCTGCTTCTTGCTCTGAGGGCTGCTGGGAGCAGGGGGTGGGGCTTATTGCATGTGCCCGCCCCCTGGGCTTCTTACTGCTGGAGGTCCGCTCCTGTCTGCTCCTGCAGAAATGACCCCTACTTCTCTTACAGAACACATGCTGAGTCTGCCTCGATAGTCTTTGTTCATCAATGTACCTACTAATTCTTTACTTAATAACAGTTTCCACCAACTTGCCCGGTATCAACATCAGACTGACTGGCCTGTAATTTCCAGGATCTCTTCTGGAACCCTTTTTAAAGATGGGAGTGACATTAGGTACCTCCCAGTCCTCAGGAATGGCAGCAGATTGTAATGAAAGATTACATATTTTTGTCAGGAGATCCACAAGTTCACATTTGAGTTCTTTCAGAACTCTTGGATTTATGCCATCCAGGCCTGGTGATTTATCAGTTTTTGTCTATCAGTCGTAGGACCTCCTCTCTCGTCCCCTCAATCTGACTCAGGTTTTTCAACACCCCTCCCAAAATCAGAGGTTCTGGTGTGGGCAAGCACTTATCATCTTCCACAGTGAAGACAGAGGCAAAAAATGCATTTAGCTTCTCAGCCATTTCCCTATCATCCTTCAGTACTCCTTTTACTCCTTGGTCATTCAAGGGCCCCACTGCTCCCTGGCTGGTTTCCTGCTTCTAATGTATTTGAAGAAAGTTTTAGATCTTCCCTAAATAATCTTCCAGATACATTCAGGGGGGTTCTGGAATATTGCCATGAATCTCTACATTCATTGAGAAGGGATCCACAGTCAGATAATGAGACAAACAGGGAAACCTCAAAGAGTTGCAGAAGTCAGTTCATTTCCCCCTGTATTTCCTTACCCACACTCAATGCTCCCTCTAAGCTGTGGAGTATTGTGAGCAAAAATTCTACTTGGTGAGCTACTGGCATTAAAGTTGTGAGTGAGCAATCTGGCTGCTACATAAATTAGTTTGCCCTGGAGCCCTCCTTCCTGAGCTACGACAAAAATGTGCAAATCGGAGGCTAAGAAACTGTGACCTAGCTCACACTAACTCAACTTAGAGGGAACACTGCCCACAATATGTCCTCCTCCTTTCCTCATGACAGCCCCCATATCCTCTTCCTTTTCCCTGCTTCTTTCTCTACTTCCCACTCACCAGCATTTATTTCATCTGCTTTCCCAGTCTTCTGCTTCATTTATTAACTTCATTTATATGAAAGCAGCTTATATCATTCTCCTGTCTTACATTTTCTCTTCATAACAGTCCTATGAGGTAAGTCAGGCTGAACGTCACTGAACCAAGGTCACCCAACAAGCTTCCATGGTAGACTGGGAATTCAAACCTGGGTCTCACAGGTCCTAGTCTGACATGCTAACCGCTGCACCAAACATTTTTGGTTACCTTCCCTGCCTCCAGTTGAAGTGTTCCATTTTGTTTTTCTTTAAGCATGGGAAAGATTGGTTTTGACTGAGATCTCTGACAAAGAGACGAGTGTGTGGAAGCAAGCAGAAACTGGGAGTATGAATAGAGAAATGAGGCCTTAGCTGAGTGAAGGAGTCTTGCCTTGGACTGCTAGAAATCCCTGCTCAGGCTTAGGTGGGTAGCTGTGTTGGTCTGAAGCAGCAGAACAAAGTTTGAGTCGACTAGCATCTTTTGTTCCGCTCAGACTTAGTTATTTTTATTCTGTCAGCCAGAGGTTTTTCATAGCATTGATTTCTAGAACTGTAATTTGTTCTAAGATCTGGTTCTTAGGATTCTGTAGTATCTACCATAAATAGAAATTGTGGCTACAGTGTTGGATCAAGCACTGCATTTCTGCTACTGCAATTATTCCTGACCACAGAGTGCAACTTTCCTAGCCCCTCACTTCTGTGGCAGTCTAAAATGTTTCCTAGAATCAAATTCCTGAGGAAGTGGGGACCGCTAAGGACAAGATTTCAGGGGCCATTTCAGGTTGCCACAGGACAGGGAAGTGGAGAAAGTCACACTCTACAGGCAAAAGTCCTTGCACCAGGAGAGAATGCCGTGCTGGTTCCAACCCATGTTAAGTGCCATTGCTGAGACCCAGCGTGAAGTAGTGCTTCGTGTGTGGACATGAAGTGAGGAAACCTGGGTTCAAACCTTTGCATAGGATAGGAAATTCTCGGACTTTGACTCACACATCCTCTCTAGGCCTAACCAGCTACACACTGTTGTTGTGAGGAGAAAAAATGGTATAAGGCTACCTGAGTATCTTGACGGAATGCTGGGATATAAACGTGTTGATGAATGATCCCTATTCTGTCACATGAATATGATGAATTATCCAGGAATATATTAGTAATAGAAGTGGCTACCTTTGAGTGTTCTTTAGACTTAAAAAATGATACGTTTTCTATGTATGCTGGGTTTATAGCCAACCAGATTCCCTGATGGGTCTCATTTTGACATTATATATTTCTTTTGCAGGAAGGCAGATTTTAAATTGACGGATGTTGGGGTTTTTTAAAATTTTTATTCCACAAGAATAAGCTCTCCTGTTCAGTAGCAGCTTGAGACTTGCTTGTTCTTGACTCCCCTCATTTTTCTGATTGTTGTTGTTGTTCAGTCGCACAGTCGAGTCCGACTCTTCGCGACCCCATGGACAAGATCACGCCAGGCCTTCCGGTCTTCCGCCATCCTCTGAAGTTTGCTCAATTTCATGTTCGTTGCATCTATGACACTGTCTAACCATCTCATCCTTTGTCGTCCCCGTCTTCTTTGATCTTTCAATCTTTTTGACCTTCATTTTTCTGATACTGTCCCTATTTTCTACTTGTATAAGATGTCTCTTTGTCAGAACAGTGTTGGTGTTTGGAGACAAATAGACTGGGTTTCCAAATGAAAAAGTCATTGTTGAAAAAAATCCACGAGCAAGATGCTAGAAGCCTTCTGACTGCTCCTCGTATGTCTTTCTAATGATTTCTGTAAGGATTTTTAGTCGGTCATCACTTGATAGCTGCAACATCAAGAGATGACTTGCATAGTGTATTCACTGTCACAGATATATACTACTGAGGATGCTCCCATATATCCTCACCTCACTTCAAATGCAGTGGTTTCTAGGCCACAGTTCACACAATCAGTGAGTATAAAGAAGGCAATAAGGGATGTACCTGCATGTGTGTACTATCTGAACTTACTACCTCCTAGTCAGTGTGTGACTGAAGCCCAAAGTGCCCTGCGTCCCTGGTATTTTTCTTCACAGTGGCAGAACATAACATTATTTCCCAAGGTGCATTGCACCTTTGGCTGAGCAGAACATAAATGCAGATCTCACAGCACAGTTCATGCCACACACTGTACTGCCTCTGGTAAGTGAAAGACAATGTGTCCCCTGGCATATGTAACAGCACTTTCGTTTCCAGAGTCATGGCCTGTTTGGCTACTCTAGCTGTTGATTAAGCCAAGTTTTGCTCCAGTGGGTAAACAAATGCTCTCTGCACTGTTAGATTCTGCTGCATAACCAACAATTTTCCCCAAATACAGCTGGAAATGAAAGAAACACATCTCTCCTTTACCCTACAACTCAGTTGTGTGGTTATATCACTTTCTCTCCCATATGCTCCTTTCTCTTTCTGCTTAATTGAATTATCCGGATTTGGAGAAAATTAAATAATCCAAATGTAACTTGCATCCAAAGCTACTAGTGAATAGTGCTTAAGTGTATGATCTATGTCTCAGATTCAAATCTCACCTCAACTAGTGAACTCAATAGATGCATTTGGAGGATGTATTTATCTATATCCTGCTTTTCTCCCCAGTTGGGACTCAAAGCAGCTTAGAATATCTTCCCTCCACACTCTCACAACAACAACCCTGTGAAATAGGCCAGGGTGAGAGTTTGTGTTGGATGTTACGTTACCCAGCAAGCTTCTATGGTTAGAAGTGGGGATTTGAACCTGTGTCTCTGTTACTGTCTCCACTATGCCATGCTAGTTCTATTAAGCTGGTTTCAAGAAGGCCATTATTCTCTAAGCTGCAGGACCAAACAGTTCTTGAGTTGCATCCAGCCAATATGCTGCTGATGTCAGAGAGGAGAGTGACCTTGCCTGGTTTCCCTCCTTCCTACACCTTCTGTTCCCCCCCTGGCATTTTATCCACAAGAAACCCGTGACACTCAGCACCAGTTTTGTTTGGGAGGACATAGGCTGCTATGCTTACATGCATGAGCACTCCATGCAGCCTTTTGCATAAATCTGTCACATGGATTGTTTTATGCCCTTTATGCCAAGTCCCTGTCTGCTGAACACTAATGGGCTGATCCATATGGTAAGTGTGGTCAAACATGGCGTGATGCTCATAAAATGGTAACACAGAGAAGAACTTTACCTAGCCTGTGCATCACATCTGTGTCTGCCATCAGTATCGTCCCCCTCCTCCCATTTACAATATGGAGATAGTATTACATTAGATGTTTAATAGAGTTTTTAATGGTGGTTATTAGTTTTGTTTTATTGCCTTAGATGTAAGACAGTCCCTGACTGTTTCTTTGGAGAGGCAGTTTATACATTTTCTAAATAAAGGAATGATCCCAGCCAATATTAAATGTGATGATGTTACAGTGTTAATAGCCAGTTAGGTTTGGTTGAATGTATTGTTAATATAAGTGAGAGAAAACAAAGTCAATTCAGAATGAATCCTTACTGGGCTTTTTTATACAGTGTATGTGAACAACTTTGATTACTTGAGATGTGCTATATAAATTATGTTGATATTATTATTATTATTATTATTAACAACAAGAAACTGTATGAAAGATACTGTTGTGAGAAGTGTCTTTTAAAAGCCATGTATGGTAGAGTTCCCCACGGCTATTTGCATTGCAATTTTCATTTTAGGCTTACCTCCAACTGTGCAGTATTTGACAACAGAGCATTTTGCTGACTAATTTTTCTCTCCATTTCTTTGCAGCGAGCCATTATCGCTACTAATGCAGGAGTCAATCCTGCAGGAACCTCTTCTAATAGCAGCAGCCACTGGGACCTTGGAAGTGCCTTTTTCTTTGCTGGAACTGTCATCACGACTATAGGTATATATTTATGTAGAATGTAAGTTAGATGCAGACATAGAATGCGAGGGAGTTACATCCAGTTTCTTGGCTTTCAGAAAAGTGCAGTTTTTTGGAGGCTAAAGCTCTAATATTTTATATATTGGGTTGATAGTTACAGAAAGCCATAGCCTAGAGCCCTATCTGCCAAGCTGCAAGCCCCTACAGACCTACCTACCTTCCTTCCTTCCTGTTGCTGTTTTGTGGAAGGACTGCTAGTGCAGTTGCATAGACAGCAAGGGTACCACACCTCCCGGTGCTCTTTGCTTCCAAGCCAAGGGGAACAGCAGGTCAGAAAAGCAAGGCAACTCAGCCTCCATGGCTCTAACTTCAGGCTTGTTCCTTGCTCCAGATCTTTCTGTTATGTGGCTGGTGTCACATGACTGTGATGTCATGTGCTTGCAGTTTAATGGCTTATCCTTCCACCTAGAGATTAAAGGAAGGTCCCAAGTCTGGAAAGGCCGCTGTCCTAGACCTTAAAGCAGATCCTCCTAGAATCCTGTTACTGGTATTGTCTGTTTTAGCTGTGGAGTGCTGGTTGGCCTTCATGTGTTGCAAATCAGACTGCCCTCCCCAGCTAAGATCAGCACCTAAATCTACTTTGTGTGTCCCCATCTTCTAAAGTCAGGTGACAAGAGACTTGGCCTTTTCTGGGTTGGCAACTGAGTAGTGGAACACAGAGACTTGCCTGGTGCCTAAGCCTTTAGGTGCCAGATAAAACATTGTTTTTGCCTAGGGTTTTCCTGTTTGTTTGTTTGCGTGTTTGTTAACATCAGTGTGCTGGTTGTGCTGGTAGACCTTTCTTGCCGAAATTTATGGCTGAAGCGGCTTTATTATGGAACAGGAACACAAGGGAGCAGGCTTGTGTGGTTTTCTCATCGCTGGTATGGTTGCTGATACAGCATAGCCACAATGGGGCTGGTTTCATAAGGCAGGTTTCCCTGCCCCAATCCCACAGCAGCAGCCCTCCCCCAGGACCAGCACCGTAGCTAGGGAATTTTTTGGGAGGGGGCCTCGAAGGGGCTGCCAGCTAATTAAATGAAAGTACAGTGCAGGGGGTAAGTCAGAGCGCTTTGGGGGCAGCCCAAGGGAGGGGGACCAGAAGAAACACTAGGGGGCCAGGCCCCGTGGGCCCCATGTTAGCTACGGGCCAGCCCAGGACACTGGGCTTTTTCAGTGTATTTTAAAACCAGCAATTTCATATTGTTATATTGATATGCCACCATAACAGTAACAGGTTCTGTGAATTCCCAGCTTTCATTTTTTAAAAAGTAAGTCTCTCTAGCTCTTTCTATTGCAGAAAGGGCAGCATTTTTTAAAAAGTAAATCTTTAGCCCTTTCTCCTCGAGAGCCAGCATGGTGTAATGGTTAAAAGCAACAGACTCTAAACAGGAGAACTGGGTTAGATTCCACACTCCTCCACATGAAGCCAGCTGGGTGACTTTGGGTCAGTCACAGCTCTTTCAGAGCTCTCTCAGCCCCCAAAATAAATCTAGCTCGCCACCTAGTGGTGCATAATGCTAAAAGAGCTAGAACTTAAGGCTGCCAGACAGTCTTCAAATCTCCTGGCTATACTACAAAGAATGCCATACGATAAATCTCTGCAATAGAAGGGAATAGAAACTTACTTTAAAAAATGAAAGCTGGGAATATACAGAACGTGTTGCATGTATAGTTATAACGGTATAGTGATATAACAATATGAAACTGCTGGTTTAAAAAGAAGCCATGGGGGCGGGGGAATGGCTGCCATAGGAACAGGGTCCGGCAAAGGGGCAACAGTGGGCAGGAAAATCCAGACATTCTCACCCTACCCACATGGCAGCCATCAAGAAGAAGAAGAAGAAGAAGAAGCAGAAGAAGAAGAAGAAGAAGAGATGGGATTTATACCCCGCCCTTCACTGCCCAAAGGTGTCTCAGAGCGGCTTACAAACTCCTTTCCCTTCCCCTCCCCACAACAGACACCCTGTGAGGTGGGTGGGGCTGAGAGAACTCTGACACAAACTGCTCTTTTTCAAGGACAGCTGTGCCAGAGCTTGCGACTGACCCAAGGTCACATCAGCAGGTGCAAGTGGAGGAGTGGGGAATCAAACCCGGTTCTCCCAGATTAGAGTCCGCACACTTAACCACTACACCAAATCCAGGCTTTCCTGTGAACTTTCCCCAAACTTCTGAGCAAAGCAGGTTTGAAAAAAGGTTAGAGAAAAGCTGTTTTGACTGACTATTGTTTTAATAGTTTTAATCTATGCTAGTTATGGGCTTTTTAATGGAGAAGCAGCAACAAATAATCTAAACAAGTCAATACATAAATAAATAAGGGCAAAATACCAATATAAATATCTTAATTAAGATTGCCATTAAAATAATTAGAGATAAAATCTGTAGGCATCTGAACCTTCAAGCCAATGTGGTAGACAGGACTGTAAGCTTCAGTCATAACTGTGACTGTTTAGTTTCATGTGAACTCTCAAGAGGGAAATGATTTTCAATATGTATACTGAAAACTCATGAACTTTTAAACATTTTCAAAAGAATTTTGTCAAAGAGGCTCCGGAACTCCATTCTGGTGTGTTCCCCCAGAAAATAAATGTTAGTGATCACAAATTCCGGCCATTTCTCCTTTATCTCCCTTTCCAGGACAACATAATTTCTTATGGGCATTAGCATGCCAATTCTGGTTTAATTTTTCTTCTACTTTTAATTGTAATTCAGTTGACTTCAGCATTGCGTGCCTGCTAGGCTGTACTTGATCCTCATGAGGCTAGTTTATTTTTAAAATTTATTTGTACTTCACTTTTCTCCCCAATGGGGGCCCAAAGTGGCTTACAAAATCCTCTCCTTCTCCAACTTGGGAAGTAATTAAAGTTCAGAGCCAGATCTTAGTCCAGTACCCTAACCACTGCACCATGCTGGTTCTCATTTTTGCATTCCTCTTTTTTAATTAAGAAAGTAATTTTTTCTGCATACCTGGGGCATTCCTTATGTATGCAGAAGTTCTGCCTTGTTTCTGTTTTGCTGCGCTACTGATTCATCTATCAGCTTTGTTGCTAGAGGAAGTGATTCTGTCTCCAAAGGAGGTCTTAAATGACACCTGTGAAACAACTGTTCCAGTAAACAGATATTCCAAGGACTACACAAAACCCACAGACTTTGGATAATTAGCCAGTAGAGTTTGGCCCTCTGAAATATTGTAGTGTTAAACCGCCAGATTTTGTAATATATGTGAAATAATCTAGATAGCAATTATTGTTCAGTTTCCCCCTTCAGTTTTAAATAATTCAGTCTTGGTCTGATCTGTGTACACTTGTGCACATTTCCAGCATTAAAGTACATTTTTATTGCTAAGCTAGAAACCACTAAAATGAAATGGATTTTAATGGAATAGGTACTAAAAGTATCTGAACTCTGTGGTGCCAGTAACATAACTGCACTTCATTTCTTCTTTTTTTAACAGCAACAACAAAAAAGAGTTCATGTAGTGGATAAGATCCAGGGCTTTTCTTTCTTTCTTTTTTAAAAAAAGGGGTGCCAGAACTTTCAAGAGGGAAATTAAGTTTTCAATCTGTATACTGAAAACTCATGAACTTTAAAACATTTTTAAAAGAATTTTGTTGGAGAAGTACCGGAACTCCGTTACGGCACATTCCCCCATCTAGGCTGCTGTCCATTGATTTCTGTAATCCACCACTGGTATAAAATTTTCTACTCTTTTGGGCAGAAAATAGGGAGAATCTGCAATGTCCACTCTAGAAATGTATTTTTTTTTACTTCATATATACTGCACCTTTCTTCTCAATGGAGACCCAAAGTGGCCCACATTGTTCCCCTCTCTTGTGAGATCAGTTGGGCTGAGGCTAGCCCAAAGTCACCCAGAGAGTTTCCATGGTGGAGCATGGATTCAAAACTCAGTCTTCCAGATCCTAGGCCAACACTCTAACCACTACCCCACACTGGCTGTCTGCAGAAGTGGCTCTCAGCGGCAAATACAGCTTTGCATGTTCATGTATAAAATAGAGGGAAAGTAGTCTGAAGTGCCTTTTTGTCAGAGTCTGTTCCAAGAAGCCTTTATAACAAATACTGGAAGATTGCCTGAAATCAGCAAATCTCTTGAAGGTTTCTGTGACCAGATCTGTAAGGAATGAAGCTTGGTGCAATAAGTGGAAAAAGAGCCAGCGTAATTCAGAACTCACTCCTGAAAATGAGGTTAGCCAGGTGATTTATCCTCCCATCAGAAACCAATTTAGAGTTCATATATGTAGCAGCAGTGATTGAATGACAGAGCTGGTCATTTTCGCTAGCTTTTCTTTCAGTGAGATCTGCTCCCTGCTACGTGGACATAAAAAGTGTACATTTAATCAAATAACAGTTTTGATTAGGAACCCGGTCCCATAAAGAAATGGTAGAATTGTGGGGTAGGTGGGTTTAAGGATAATTACATTCTGAGCTACTGTGAATACTGTCCAAGATAAGAACCAGACAATGGCCTATCTGAAAGAAATTTTTATAGGCGCTCATGCAAATATGGGTGTGTTCGTACCAACTTATTCCTGGATATCTGGAGTCAGCAGCTAATGCTGACTGAATGAGATCCTGAGTGGAGTTACTGAACCAGAACCCGATTAAATTAGGGGAAAATATGTTGAACACACATGAACACACACATACTGTTACTTGGAGATGCTGGGGATTGAAACTGGGTCTGGGACCTTCTGCATGCCAAACAGATGCTCTACCACTGAAGAAGAAGAGATGGATTTTATACCCTGCTTTTCTCTACCTTAAGGAGTCTCAAAGCAGCTTGCAATTGCCTTCCCTTCCTCTCCCCACAACAGTCACCTTGTGAGGTAGGTGGGGCTGAAAGAGTTCTGAGAGAACTGTGACTAGCCCAAGGTCACCCAGCAGGCTTCATGCGGAGGTCCGGGGAATGAAACCCTGTTCTGCAGATTAGAGTCCATCGCTCTTAACCATTAGACCACACTCAGTTGAGCCCCCCCCAGCTTTGTGTTTGCAATGGTCCATGGAATGTCTGAAGAGATATAGCATGGAATATCTAGTCTGCTGGCTTGTGGAAGGGTGGTTTCCCACTTGAAACAAAGCCCTCATGAGCTGATGTATCATCAAGTGCAGCCTTGAAAATCTGTCATCTGGGGAAAGCTATGTTTCATGCTGCAGCAAAAGATCATCTCTTTAACACAAAGGACACATAACGCCCATCCCATAAGGACAGATGCACAAGGGCTGCAGCAGACCCTTCAGCTTGAATGGGATGGAGACCTCCTAGCTAGTCTTCCTGAGTAAGCAGCCCTTTGTGAGTGTACATTGAGTCCTATGCAGAGCAGTAGCAGATCCGTGTGTATTGCTTAACTTTCCTTCTCCTGGAAAGTCTTTCTGTGGTATATCGAAGCATTGGTGGGAGGAGGATAATAGGTTCACTTTCCTGAGAGTCCTGGCATGGACTACATGCCTATAAGCAGGGCTTTTTCTCTGGGGGAACACACCGGAATGGCATTCCGGAACCTTTTTGACAAAATTCTTTTTAAAATGTTTTAAAGTTCATGAGTTTTCAGTATACAGATTGAAAACTTATTTTCCCTTTGAGAGTTTGGCACCTCTTTTGCCAAAAAGAAAAAAAAGCCCTGCCTACAAGCATGGGTTGCCGGCTGCAAGTTGGGAAATTCCAGGAAGTTTTGGGGTACAGCATGAGGAAGACAGGGTTTGGAGAGGAGAAGGACTTTAGCAGGGTATACAATGCTATAGAGTCCACCCTCCAAAGCAGCCATTGTCTCCAGAGAAACTGATCTCTGTTGTGTATAGGGTTTCCATCCCCCATGATGGTGGAGCCCCACCCCTGAAGAGCCCCATCCTGCCCGACATGTCCAGTGAGATGATGTCACCCAGAGGTGACATCATCACGTCAGGCACATTGTGTGGGGGACGCTCTAGCATTTGGGCAAAAACTCTTTGGTGACCATAGAGTTTTTTCCCCAAACGCTAGAGCATACTCCACTCAACATACCTAGTGCAATGAATTCATTTCTGGGAAAAGTGAAAAGAAGAGAAAAAATAATTGAAAAGCAATGTCACTGATATTGCTACATCACTTCCAGGTAAAATTCAAAATGGACAAAGAGTAGCTCCCTAACTCTGTGGTTTTACTCTATGGTTTTACTATAAAACCATGTTATGGGTAACTCTATGATATGGGTAGCTCTAGGAATTGTTGGGAATTCTGTGGTTTTACTTGGACTGGTATAAACTCTACAGAGTCTTAGGCTGATGTCCTTTTTTAACTTTACTTTTTATTAAATTTTTAAAATTTTTACAAAATACATAAAGATGCCATGGATTGAATTGGGAACCTTTGGTCTGCAAAGCTGTTCCTCTAGCACTGATCCACGGTCCCTCCATTGTTGTGAGTCTCTGAGCAGATTATGGTGGGAGGCCCTTCAGTGCACTAAAATGAATTCTGATAAAAATCAATTTGCTCAATTTTCTTCTCACTTTGAAATTATGAAATGTTTGGCTGGTAATAGCTGCAAAATAGGGATGGGAATGAACCCCGGTTCAAGCACAAACTCTGTGGAGTGCAAAATTATCTGTGGATGATAACATAAATCTGAACTGCTCCTTGTGAATGAGCATTGAATGCTCCCTGTGTTCCTTAGACTGCTGTCATTATGCTGACAAACAGACTAGCAAGTGATGACCAAGGCACTCTGAAAGACTTTGTGTGTTTGGTTGTATATATACAATGTGTGTATAACATCAGCAGCTGCAGAAAAATAGTATTTGAAAATATGCATATGATTGACGGACAGACAGCATGACATCCTAAAATGCCTCCCCCATCCTGTTCCAGGGCTTCCCTCTCCTCCAGGAATGGGATTTCAGGGGGCATTTTTGGTTGTCATGGAGGGGGGCGCTGAGACAGTCATACTGCATGGTAGATGTCCTTGCACCTGTGGAAACACTGTGCTTCATCCAATCCAGACAGTTTACCTGTGGATTCCTGTTGATGTACACTTGGTGGTAAACCTGGATTTGTTGCTCTGTCATATGTGAAACAACGTTTGGTGGTTGCTCACATATCTTTAAAACCTGCTGTGGCTACAGTGCCATCAACTATGTTTGTATTTTTGGAACAAAACGTACATCCAGGTTGAACTTCTCTGAAAATATACATCATGCTGGAAGTAGAAACCCAGGCTGCGTGACTCAGTGTCAGGTGAATATAAGATTGCCCTTGCTTGCTTATTAGCATGAGGGCTATTTCCAGCACCACTAGGGAAGTGACATGGCTGAAAGTTTCATATGTCAGGTAATCTGAGCAGATGTGAGGATCTTGGGGACGGAAGAGAGCTCTTTCATGTTGTTTTCAGACTTGCACGGTTGTTCAGTTTACTTCTATCTTTCCTTTCTGAATCTCTGTTACCAAGAGATTGTGGTGATGTTTTTTGTCTCATCAGGGTATGGAAACATTGCTCCAAGCACAGAGGGTGGAAAAATCTTCTGCATTTTGTATGCCATCTTTGGGATTCCACTCTTTGGCTTTCTGCTGGCTGGCATTGGAGACCAACTGGGGACCATCTTTGGCAAGAGCATCGCAAGAGTGGAAAAGGTTTTTCGAGTAAGATTTGAAATGGCTTAGTCTTAGTCTTGAGCTCTAATAGCAGGGCAGATACAGTCTGGCATGGTGAAGCACTTAGAAACATTGCATATTTCATAAATTTACCTTGAAAGTGTAGGAAAATTAATGCACCACTCTAGATATGTAAAGGAGTGGTAAAAGATAAACCTAAAAACCAAAAGAGATAAAATATTCTTGGTAATTAGGGGTGCATTCCTAAGAACACTTTCCTAGGAGTAAGCCCAACTGAATAAAATGGGATTTCTTCTGGGCGGACCTGTTTAGGATTATTCCTTAGACAACTATATATATAATGATGTGCTGAAACATCCAATTAGTTTGTACTGGTGCTGTTATAGTTGTCAAAAGAAGCATTGAGTTCATTATATTTGAAATAAGAGGCACAAACTCATTTGCAGAGACACTGAGGGCACAGATACCAATCAAAAAGAATAACAGAGTACTACTCTGAAGATGATACTGAGATGCAGAAAGAAATTAATGAGGCAGCCAAAGGAGAAAAGGTTGTTGTAATAGGTGATTTTTATAATAGGTGCATCAGTTAGAATGGAAATGGAATATGACAACATTTTCAGATGAAATAAATAATTGTGCCTTAGAATAGTAATCGTACAATCCTAAAGGTAGTCAGTAGGCTCCTTAGGATAGGAATCAAGCCCCATGCTCGCATAACTCAGAGATTAGTATATGTAGACCCATACCAAAACTGTGCCGGCATAAATCCAGTGTGAATGAATCAGAACAGGGGCCAAAAAATGGTTTGCAGCAGGAGTGTGCTGGGGGAGAGTCCGGTTTCCTAAGCCGCTCTGCCCATACCCCGTCCATGGTCCACTGGCAAGAATGCTGCATAAATATAAACAAAGTCCCCACCACACCCACAATCATGGAGCAGCTGAGGATACTGGTGAAGTCTGCAGCCACTCACAAGTCTCATAGAGCTGTATAAACCGTAGCTAGGATGCCCATAGCTCAGATGATATGGTATTTGACATGGGCCTATATCTCTCTGCCCTCAAGGTATGCACACTTAAAACACACAAGTGGAGGTTTTGGTGGTGGAATCTCTAGAGAAAAGGCATTTTGCATGGTAAGGAAGGGATTCAAGTGGGCACTGTATATTGGTAACACTACTATGCTCAGACCATTTACAGGGACTCCATATGAGGACACAAATACCAACCTGAATCCTCCACTCCTCCAACAAGGACAATGCACCCCATCCAGGTAAGCAAGAAATGGGGAATCCCCTGCCTCAAGTGGACTTCTGCAGATATCACCCCTACCCCAGTACCGCGCATTAACGTATCCACTCTTCCTCCGTCAACAGTTGATATTGGTGTCTCCCATGTAGTGGGCACAGAGTGCAGGAAGCCCCTCTCCCACCTGGGCAGATATTTGCTGGCAGAACATCATTACAGTGTCAGTGTGATTTCGTGCCAATGTAACCCCACATGCAACTGGAGGGGAAGGGAACAGGCAGCACAACCACAACCTGGGCAATCTCCAGCCTTTTCAAACCCTGCTACAGCTGGCCAGACTTTTTCATGATGCCTTTTGCCTTGCAGGATCAGAGCCCCACGGAGCAGATGAAATAGGGCTCCAATGCAAACAGGGTTCCAACGCAGTTCTTTAAAAGGTATTGGCCCAGTAATGATACTGTATCCTGCAACATGGTGAATCCCACTGTGTGAGAACCCCGAATTGGGGGGAGGGGAGGTATAAGAACTGAAAGAACACATAGATGGTGCCACACCATATGTAGGGTGCTTGAGATGTCTGTTGCTACCATGAACATGATTTGTGACTGCTCTTGTGTCTCTTTTGGCCATTTCTAGGCAGTCCTCCACCGGGGGCAGAGGCCAGGATGGGCACCTTTCACTGTGCAGAGCCAGCCATCTGCTGGGGCTACAACATGACCAACAGTTGGAATGACCAGTGTTTACCTATCTGCTCTGCTGGTTGCCAGCTCTCTTCTTTTAGCCTGGCTCCTGCAAACTCCTTAACCAGACAGTTGTTTAACCAGCATGCCTGCATCTATCATGAACAAGCGTTGCTTTTGTGATTCTGTTGTTGGTCTATGCCGTTTCAAAGGCAAGGGTAGAGACCGACAGAACTGTCAATTTGCATTCAGAATTTTGTTCCAGAGGATGTTCAATAAATGCCTGGAATTGTTCCACAGCGGTGTCTCTTTTTTTAATGGGGTTTGGTAGAAAAGGATCTGTGCTCCCCCTTCTGTCATCACTTACTTCTGCTGTCTTCAGCACAGGACTCATTGGGTGCGTTAAGACGAGGGCTTTATATCGGTTAGGGTGCCGGTTGCAATCGTTGTACTCACCGGCGTTCAGACGGGGCACATCTGCCTCCTGTCCCTAACCGGTGTAAAGCTCTTTACACCGTTGCACTCTGCCACTAGGTCCCAAGTGGTGGTAAACTGAGTGCAACGGTTGTAATCGGTGCACCCCGGCGTCTGATCGCTCTCCACCGGTGCCTAGCCACTTCCGTTGGAAGCCTGAGGCTTCCGGCTTTCCCCCGCCATTTTTTTTAAAAACTAGGCGATTTGCGCTTGGGCGAAGCTTCGCCCCGGGCGTTTGTTTTTTTTAAAAAAAGAAAAGGTCCTTAGTGTATGCTCTTTAACAGGAGGCCAGTTTGCTCTTTAAAGTTTAAAGGTAAGGCGTGGGTGGCACCGGCTGCGCACAGCCCAAAGAGCTGCCTGGCGTGAAGGGGAAGAAGAAAGGGAATAGGAAGGGGCGGGGGGGCAGGAATTACACGGGCGTGCAAACTGGAAAGCAGCCCCAGCAGGAGCGTCCCGGCGGCCGAGGGAAGACAAAGGGAAGCAGAGGCTTCGGGCGGGAGGCGACGCCGGCTGGCCGCTAGAAGCCCTTCCCCGTCGCATCGTTACCCGCCGCCCTGGCTCCCGCTCCGAGGCAGTCTCCTTTTGTGCCGGGTGTGGAATTGCAAGTAAAATGAGTGTGGGCGTGCGAAGGAGGGGGGCGGGCTGCAATCTCACACGCCCCCACGCTTCTTCACCAGCAGGGCTGCTCCCCTAGAGGCACTTTCTGGGGAGTAAGCCCCCTTGAATAGCATTGGGCTTACGTCCAAGTAGACCGGCTCAGGTGGTTTGCATTGCGGGGATCTGCAGCGCTGGGGCTCAGATGAGAAGAGTCTTGGTCACCTACAGGTGCCCTCCTGGTCCCTGGCCAACATTATTATTATTATTATTGACGTGATTCACCCAAAGAAAATCCAGAGAGTTTCCTTAAGACGTTGGAAGATGGGAAGTTTCGCCCGGTTTGCTCATTCTACGATTATGCATCGTCCTTTTCCTTAAGCCTGTAACTCTAAACCCAGGTGAAAGGATCCCGGAGGCAGCGTTGTGTTTGGGGGCGGGGGGGGGAGAAGGAAGGGGGGGTGTCACAGTGGGAGTCAATGGATCCATAGCAATATGTGCTCCATATTGCAATAACCAGCTTGGGAAAAGAAGGGAGAGGTAGGAACTGCAGAGAGGCAGGCTGCAAAGAACGAAGCCGCCCGACGGAAGCGCACCCCCCCCCACATGTCTGGGGCTGCTCCTTTGTGTCTTCCCCGTGGCGTTTGTTTTAAAAAAAGAGAAAAAGTCCTTAGTTTAGCCTTCCGGAGGAGTCCGGGACTTCAGGGAGGCCAGTTTAAATGTAAGATGGGGTTTTTGCTCATGCGCAAAGATCGCCATCCTGTGGATGGCTACCTATGCGCATGCTCAAACTGAGGGTTTTTTTTTTAAAAAAAAAAAGCCGAAGCCCGCTGCATGTGGACGGGCATACATCGATGGGTTCCGCTGTGAGGGAGGTAAGTGTGATCGCGTTTCAGCCGGCATAAACTGCACCGGTTCCAACCGGTACAGTTTATGCCGGCTGAAACGCCCCGTCTGAACGCACCCTCAGGGTGACGGGGCTGAAAGGATCCTCCAATCCCTCAGCAGTTCTCTAGCTCGTTGTGGCAACGTTACTGTTAACAGCACTCTTGTACCTTCTGCCCAACATCCTCAAGCATATCTGGAAAGAAAGAAAGTAATTTCTTTTCCTGTCAGGATGAAACTAGAGATCTGTTAGCTGTCTGCCATGACCTTTGCAGCCACATAAGGACTTTATTTGATTAAAAAGCATGGATTATTACTTGTGGGCCCCGTAGTGGGCTTGCTCCTTTAAAAATTTATTGCTCTCAGTTTTCATAATCGTTCAAAGAACAATTTAATCCCTGATTAATGATTGGACATGTTCTACTCTGGCGTTATTGACTGAGAATACTTTCATATATGAGGCTTAAATGAACTTTGGGGTTCTATCGTACTATTCATGGGAATGTTAATTTGTAGTAGAAAGTAGCCTTTTTATTTCAGCTGAGAATTCTGGCCAAGGTAGGGTTTCTGTTTCCATTGTGAACAAATCAAGAGCTGCTTTAAACCTCCTGCATTTGGGTTTTCTTTTTGTTTTTTTGGACGGAAGATTTGATTGTGTGCCAAAGTCTGGCAAAAGCCAATTTTGAAGTTATTGTGCTGTGGGTACGAATAGCCCACAAAGGCAGTTATTCTTTTGTTTGCACTGTGTAAATGTGCTGATTCTTCCTTAATTACCTCAGAGTTGTGTGACAAAATGATCAATTTGGACTTCAAAGTACAGGACCAGGTCAAAGACAGAGGGAAATCTAGTTAGCACTCTGTAGCCCCAGTTCTGCCTTAATGTGGATAGCCCAAACTAGTCTGATCTCATCAGATCTCAGAAGCTAAGCAGGGTCAGCCCTGATTAGTATCTGAATGGGAAACCAAGGACGTCCAAGGTTGCTATGCAGAGACAGGTGATGGCAAACCACCTCTGTCTAGTCTCTGGCCTTGAAAACCCTGTGGAGTTGCCATGTTGGCTGTGACTTGATGTCACTTTACGCACACACAGCCCCAGTTCTCAAAGCATTCAATGGACTTCCCTGAGGGGAGTCAGTCCATTGAACAT